ATTCTGCATTTATGAGAACAGTTTGCTGTTTGCTCATATAGCCTTCAGTGGTATACTGAGTTGATCACGACCCTCCTTCTTTTGGCCTCCAACATCTCCCCCTTTTTGTTTTTACATTAATTGAACAAAATCTGTCCTCATGTTATGGGGGTTGATGTCAGTGTGACTCTGGTCAGTCCTCATTCCGTCTTCACATTCAGATTCAACTGACTCATGGCTCGTACCAGGGGAACCAGGCCCATGGTTGGGATCCATGGTTCCCTCCAGTGTCCTGTTCCATGGCTGCACACACCTTGAGGGCACCCACATGGTTTGTCCATCTCCTGTAAAAACACAAGCATACCCTTGTCCCCACGTTGATAAATCTATAGGCAGTGGGAAACATTCTGAGGTTCTTTAATTCTTTTCCTACAAAATGCTGACATAACGTTGGGACTGCTGAGCACGCCTTGGGGTAAAACTTTCCATTGATAATGAAAAACAGGCTTTCTCCAACAGAAGGCACAGAAAACAACTTGAGGCTTATCCTTCTCATGTAAGGTATAGAAAAAAAAATCTCCAAGATCCATTACTGCAAGAGGCCAGTCTCTTGTTCCTGTATCCGTAAGCCCACACAACTTCTTTTCTTTAATTTGCACTGCACAAGTGGGTCTACTAGATGCTATTGGTTGTGATGAATAAATTTCCCTCCTAGTTGTACTTCCAAATCCTTGATTCCCTTGTTTCTTCTTTCGTCAAGAAGGGTGTAATTTGCAGGGGATAAGCAACAGATGAGCAATATGTTCTCCCAGTTCAAAAACCCAAAGATCTTGTAACATTACCACTACTTGAATTTCTTCTTCATAATCTGAATCAACAACTCCTGGGACTACAGTAATGCCCTGTAAGTTAAGACAGCTTTTGCCTAAAATTAATCCCATGTATTCTGTTGGCAAAGGTCCACAAATATCAGTGGGAATCTTGGTGGGTTTGTCTCCTCCAACTAACGTAACGCATTCTCTGACTGGGAGATCCAATCCTGTGCTTCCAGGTGTTCCTGGGGAGGGGGAATCAATGTGCCTTCCGAAACCCACCCCTGAAACGGAGTTGTGTCCTGGACTGGGGATGCCCTCATTGTTTGAGGTGCCCGGGTTCAGGCCCCCTTGTCATTTCCCCACAGGGGGGTGCTGTTTTGATGAAAATTTGAATGGCATTGATTAGCCCAATGATTTCCTTTATTGCAACAAGGGCAAAGTCCTGGTGTTTTTGCTATTGCAGGGGAGGGAACTGTGTTATGAGATCCCTTCTTTCTGGAGATCTGATGGCATTCTTTTTTGAAATGTCCAATTTTTCCACAATTATAACATTTTTCCACTTTAGGGTTTGACCCTTGGCTCCTTTTAGGTTTATCAGCTACTAAATTAGCCACTGCTTGAGCCAACATTGTAGAGCGATGAAGCTCAATTTCCCACATCTTGACAAGCTCTGAGAAAATTTCCTAAGCTTCTTGTACATCTCCCAGGTGCCAGTGCATGTTTACAATCCACGTTTGCCTTCTCAAAGCCAAAGTTAAAGTTAGTATTTCTGCAGCCACAAAAGAAGATGGTACAGGCCAATCTTCACCCTCCCTCTCCTGTTCACCACCCTCGATAGGTGCTGTGGGTGGGGCACAAAATTCTTTCAAATTTTGAAATAATGACAAAAGGACAGTACAGACCAAACTCCAAACAGAAAAAACAGAAATAATGAACACATTCTGCCCATGTTACCCTGATTCAGAAACTTCCCACTCCCAGTACCTCTTTAGGTCACTGACCTTATATCCACTGCCGGCAGACTCGTCCTGGGGTTTCTCGTTCATCTGGTCAGTTTCACTTTCTCTGCTCCAGCAGATGTTCCTTGTTCATGTCCCTGTCTGTCCCTGTCTGTCTCTGCTAATCTCTACTAGTCCCTGCAAGTCCCTGCTAGTCTCTGTCTGTCCCTGTCTGTCCCTGTCCATCCCTGTTTGGGTGCGTTCTATGTCTGCTTGATTATTCACAGGCTCCACATAATTGCTAACAGGCTTCAGGTTATGCCCTGTAGATAATCACAATTACACTGTGCCCTGGGGCGTGACTGCCCTCATGCCATTCCTCTCGGGCGGCAGTCCGCATGTTTGTCATTTTTTCAACATTCTGGCATTTATCGAGAACAGTTTGCTGTTTGCTCATAAAGCCTTCAGTGGTATACTTGAGGTTGCTATCATCGACCGCTCAATTCTTTGGCCTCCAACACACTTGATGCTTACGTAGCACTATTCACCATAGCAAAAAGCACAATGGAATCAATTTTAAGTGCCATCAGTGGTGGGATTTGGATAAAGAAAAATGGGTACATATCACACATGCGGACATACAGTGTAAGGCCCATAAAAATAAATGAAATTGGCTGGGCCGTCGGTGGCTCACTCCTGTACTCCCAGCACTGTTGGGAGGCAAAGGCAGGTGGAGGCACCTGAGGTCAGGAGTTTAACAGAGCCAGCGCTGGCCACTAGTGAATAACCCTGGGCTGCACAAAAATACAAAATTTAGCCTGGGTGTGGTTGGTGCACTACCTGGTAGTTCCCAGCCCACTCAGTGAGGACTGATGTCAGGTAGAATTGCGTTGGTATTGCAACCTGGA